TTTTTTTGTTCCTCCTCCAATAACATCAGCTATTCCTATTGCACCATCAATAGAAACTAAATTGGAAATAGGGAAAGATTCATCTATTCTTAGTCCTCAACAAAAAATAGAGCTCTATGTTTATTCACGATGTAAACCATTACCTCAAGAAGTACAGACTTTTGTGCCACAACCATATTGTCAAGAATCTGATCCACAAGTTAATTCTGAATCAAAAAAAGTTGGGTCTACAGCACCATCACCTGTGAACACTCTACCTGATGATCTAGACATACCTATAGCACTCAAGAAAGGTGTAAAGATCATGCACTCAACACCCGCTACCCAATTATCTATCTTATAGCCATTTGTCAATAGCATTTCGTACACTAGTAGAAAAGATTAAGGAAGCTAAAATCCCAAAAAATATTGAAGAAGCCCTAAAAATTCCAGAATGGAAAGTTGTAGTACTTGAAGAGATGAAAGCATTGGAAATGAACAAGACTTGGGATGTTGTGAAGTTACCTAGAGGAAAAACACCAGTTGGATGTAAGTGGGTGTTTACTATTAAGTACAATTCAAATGGTGGAACAGAGAGACACAAGGCCCGCCTAGTTGCAATGGGGTTTACTAAAATTTTTGGAGTAGACTACACTGAAACCTTTGCTCCTATTGCTAAATTGAATACTATAGGGGTATTGCTTTTACTAGCTGCTAATCTTGACTGGCCATTACACCAAATGGATGTCAAGAATGCCTTTCTTAATGGGGAGCTAGTTGAAGAAGTTTATATGGATTTGCCTCCTCGGTTTGAAGGGGAAAACAATGACAGGAAGGTATGCAAATTAAAGAAACCTTTGTGTGGTTTAAAACAGTCACCAAAGGCCAGGTTTGTTCGCTTTGCAAAGTCAATAAGGAGACATGGATTTAGTCAAGAACAAACTAATCAAATTCTTTTTTTCAAACACTCAAAACATGGCAAAAAGATTATTTTAATTGTTTATGTTGATAATATTATACTGACAGGTGATGATATTGAAGAAATAGAGAGGCTAAAAAAGACTCTTGGAAAAGAATTTGAACTTAAGGATCTTGGACAACTAAAATACTTTTAGGGATGGAAGTTGCAAGGAGAAAGAATGGTATTATTGTTTGCCAAAAGAAGTATACGGTTGATCTCTTGAAGGAAATAGGTATGTTTGGCTGTAATCCAGCTGACACACCTTTAGATCCTAAAGTCAAGCTTGGAAAGAAAGGAGGAATTCTAGTAGATAAGGGGAGATATCAATGACTGGTTGGAAAGCTGATCTACTTGTCTCATACAAGACTTGATATTGCCTTTGCAGTTAGTGTAGTAAGTCAGTACATGCACTCTCCACTTGAGGAGCATCTTTAAGTTGTATATCGAATCTTAAGGTATTTGAAGGCCATACATGGTAAGGGTTTACTGTTTGAGAAGAATGAACAAAGAAATGTGAAAGCATTTACAAATGCAGACTAGGAAGGATCAATTGAAGACAGAAGATCCACCTCTGGGTATTGTACGAAGGTTTAGGCTAATCTTGTCACATGGAGGAGCAAGAAACAGTTTGTTGTTGCTCGAAGTAGTGCAGAAACACAATTTAGAGCTCTTGCACAAGGAACTCGTGAACTTGTCTGGCTGAAGAGACTTTTCGAAGAATTGTAAATGATAGCTGAATATCCTATGAAACTATATTAAGATAACAAGGCTGCTATAAGTATTGCTCATAATCCAATACATCATGATCGAACAAAGCATGTTGAAGTTGATAGGCATTTTATCAAAGAGAAGATTGATACGGGAGTGATCGTATGACCTATGTCCTTCAAAGCAACAAGTAGCAGATATCCTAACAAAGGCACTACATAAACCATGTTTTGAGACTTTTGTTGACAATCTGAGAATGATAAATATCTATTCTCCAGCTTGAGGGAGAGTGTTGACAGATTATGTATCAAATCAGGATCAATTTCCTAATTTGTTGGGATTTATATTTCTGGTCTTTTATTTGTTTCTATGTTTGGATGATTGTGTCCTGATTGTGTGGGATTCTTTGTATATATCAATTCCTCTATATATTTGGGGATTCTTTTTTAATAAAATAACAATAAGAGAATATTGTTTTTTGTCTCTAATTACATATTCTTCACAGTATGGATATAAGTTAGACACATTGAAATTAGCTCACGGTAAAAATTCCCCATAGTTGGACCTTTGTATGGATAAGATTTAAAACTTGCTCCTTTCTCAAGTTATAAATACCAATGTCACTTAACTTAAAAAAATAAATAAATAAAATTCCTACATTACTTTATTTCAATTAGGTTTTAAATGATGAATATTTTGAGTTGTGATAATGAGTATTTTGATTTTCTCCCTATCGATTCTGTTTGGTTTTCTCCTTTAGTTTTTCTGTTTCTCCCCTAATTTCATCTATTCCTCCTAATTGTTATTGTCTATATTTGAATTTCCCTCTAGATTCCTATATTCCATCTCTCTGCCATACTTGTCCTACATCAATTGGTATCAAATCTCAAGTTGTCTATCCCTTCTCATTGAGTACCCAAAAAAAAAAAAAAAGGAAATTCAACCCTGTTTGTTTTGAAAGGAAAAAAATAAGTCAAGCGTGTCCCAAAAAAAAAAATTGTTAGGTTTTTTAAAAAAAACTAAAAGTAACAGAGCAAAAACCCATTCACCAACGTCTGGCTGTCCAATCTCCAATCCATCACCATGGAAATTTTCAAATCAATAACCTCATAAAGTTCACTACTGTTTCTCCTGATGATTAGAAAAAAAAATTTTAAGAGAATATGCAACTTTGAAGCTAGATTTGTGGTTGGTCGATCGTTCAAAAGAGACATCAATGCCTACAATCAATTTGTCCATCTCTAGTCATCTAGGAGAATTATTGTCGCCATCAGCCGTTGCACGTGCCTACACATGCTGGGTTGAGACACAGCACTTACGGTCACCTGGCTCATGTCAACCACTGCTTTGTCAGTTTGCTGACATCATCTGACAAATCAGCCTATTGCAATCCTGGCTCATGCTGAGCGCTCAAAGGTCAATGTACCGAGTTTGATCCAATTTTTTTTTTCAACTTTATTGATTGGTTTGCTTTTTTCAATGGGTTGTCGTACTTACCAAATTTAACAATTATCTAATATTTAGCTATAAATGGTTATTTAATAGTGCAAATATAATCTTATTAAAAAAAATAATTTATTTTATAGCCCATCTATTTGAATTATTTCTAAGATTTTGAATGGTATGAGAAAAAATCGGAACAGAAAATTGATGTGGCATCATTAATGAAACAATTATGAATAAATTTTCATTATTGATAAATCATAAGAGGAAAATTTTATTTATTTGAAAGTTGTATTATATTTTGATTTAATTCTTTTAATGTTAGCCAACAGATATTAAGAGATATACTAGGACTATTTCCCAACATAGGACTTTGAGTCTGATAGTCAAATATCAATCTAGAGTCTCATTCTCATAACTTCAAAATTATAGCACTACTAAGAGTAAGGACCTTTCTTCATTTAAGTGGTGGTTCTAAGGCTTCTAGATACTCTTCAATTGAGTGTTTTTTATGTCATGGAAAAGGTCACACAGCTTCACAATGTCCACAGCCTTACTCGTAGACCAAGACTTTGAAGAACCTTTAGACTGAAATTATCAAATAGTGATCCCTTTGAATATCTGGAGGCTGAAGATGACCTCTGAAAGGATGGTAGTCCTCACCAAATTACTATGATGGGGGTGATTTGGATGATAGAGAAAGCTTAGAGGGTTGTTGTAGGAATTAAATCATCAATATTAATAATATGCCAAAAGAGTGTAGAAGTGAAATTCCCTTTTGAGAGTTTTTTTTTTTTCATTGAAAAATAGATTGGTAATTGTGATTGAGTTGGCTATTGCCGGGATTGATCCTAAGTTTGATATAAAATTTCTAGACAATTGTAAGTTTGTTATAATTTTTCTCGACAATAGTTCATTTTCTTGCCTAAAAAATCAGCCCTACATGCCTCAAGATTTTATTCTTCCACATAACCTTTTTCATTTTAATCTGTTGGGATTTTTTGTCCAATATTATTTTGATGCTACTAACAGTGTCATGGTTTACATCAGTATTGAACACTTGCTTGGACTATTTCATAAAATTGAGTTCCTAATTGATTTACTCATATTTCTTCCTCTCACATCTTGGACGTAAAATGTATCTATTTTCTTTCCCCAATCACTTGACTATTAGTAGGAGTGCAAACCAATAGAGCTTTCAATGAATTGTTCGTGAACATGTTCAATTTTTGTTCATTATTAAGCTTAACAAATGATCTTGAGCAAAATTTTAATGTTCATAATATACAAAACGAACACAAACAGAGATTTGTTTCATTTGATTATGTTTGCGGATAAATTCGTTTGACGTTCGTGAACAAATTCAATAAATACCTTTATATATTCCGTTTTTATTCCTTTTAAGATGACTACTTATGATTAAATATTTTTTAATAAGATTTGAATCACAGTTTAATATTAATATATTGAAAAGTAAACTTAACATATATTAAAAAAAACTTTAATAATGTTTTAAAAAATATTATTATAAATATAATTTTTAATCGTTTAAAATGGACAGTAAAGAAGTTATAAAGGAGACTTTTTGTTTATAGTCTTTCTATCCTACATAGCTTGGAAAACCAATGTAGAGAAAAAACTCTTTATAAATAGGCATCTCCCCTTCACTCTTGAGAGTCAACTCTTGAAAGCCCAAGTGATTGGTTTTCAAGATAAATTTCTTAGTTATTAGTTTATGTTCATTTATTTTCACTTATATGTTCATGAGCATATTCATTTAATGTTCATGAAGGAACATTGTTTAACTTAAACGAACCAATCTCAAACCGAGCTAAACATTCTAATATTTAATGAACCATGCTCGAACATAGTGTAAAAATTTCTTACCGAACACAAACAGTCCTAAAAATAAACAAACCACGAACATAGCAATGTTCATTCATGTTTAGTTCGTTTACACCCCGAACAATTAGTCATGTTTTTCATGTGGAAAGTGGATTACCTCATTGGGATGCATTTGAGCCAATTTTTTGGCCTACTAGTATTTCTACTGGCATTTTACTGAAGGCAATGATTCTTAGCGGTCCACTGGTTGCTTCCCATCTAGACAACCACCATTATTACCTTGTTCATTGGAAAGGTTTTTTTTTGGCTCTCTACGAAGTTCCTAAAAAATAAGTGTTTGTATTCTAACTCTCCGAAGTTTAGTTCTTTTAGTTGAAAGGGAATGATGAAGAATTATTTAGGCCATTTATTTTATTAGGTTATTTTTAATCAAGGTTAGTATTTTTCATTTTATTAGGGTTTTAAGTTTAATTATAAATATTAATGTTACTTCAGTTTCAATTATGTTTTAGATGATGAATATTTGAGTTATTGTGATATTGAGCATAAAGATTTTCTCCCTATTGCTTTTGTCTAGTTTCTCCCATACGTTGTGTTTGGTAGAAGGGAAAGAGGAAGGAAGGAAAGCGAATGGAAAGAAAAACTACTTTCTTTCCACCCTTTCCTTTGTTTGGTAGAAGGGCAATAAGAGGAAGGAAAATGGCTAAATTGCCCACCAAATCTAATCCTTCCAAATGTGGGAGGAAAACACTTATTCAACTTGAATTAACAATGTTATTTACAACTTTGGCCTTAACCTCTTTCTTTTCCATCATTTATACTGAATACAACGAAAGAAAATTAATTTTTTCCTCTCTTTCCTTTGTTTTTTCCTCACCATTTTTCCCTTTCCTCGCAAGTGTTAGTTATTTTGTTTCTCCCACAGTTTCCTCTGTTCAATTTCAGAATTTCCCTCTAGATTTCTTTACTCCTATCTCTTCTCCCTTCTTGTCCTACATCACATGTCATGCAGCATTTAACAATGGACTAATAGGTTTCAACATGCTTTCCTTGAGCAGTTCAGGGTTCCAGTAGGGATAATGTCCTATATGGTCCTTGAACTATTGCATTTTTTCTAATGTAGTACCTAAACAAAAAAAAATTCTAATCAGGTACTTAAACTACATTTTTGTGCGTCAATTTGCCCTAACCATTAACCCTAAATGCTAACATGGCATAAACATCCAATAAAATGTTGACATGTATTAAAAAAATCCAGTAGCACCACATCATCATTCAAAGAAAAAAATTCAAAAAAATTTTGAAAAATTCTGAAAATTCTTCTTTGCCATATCCCTCTCCAAAATCAAAGACCCAATTTTCCAGTAAAAGAATTCAAAAACACAAGTCAAAATTCTTCAATCAAGCAAGAAACAAAGAAGCCTTAACACCAGGCAATCGAAAAAACCCAACAAAACCCACAGTCTCAACAACACAAGAAGCGAAACCCAAACTCAAAAATCAAGTCAACCCAAAGCAACCTTAGCACAGATGATCAAAAACGTTCAAGCAAAAACCCAAAAGCCAAAACAGCAGCTCCAAACTGAAATCAACCACACGTCAAAACAAAGAGTCACAAGCAGACACAGAGAAACCTCAAGCAACTCAGTAGTCAAAACCTAGAAATCTCATCAACCCGAGAACACCCACAAACAATTTAGCATCCCCTAACCCAAATCCTGCACACAAACAAGAAATCCAGCACACCATAACAAAAAACAACCACAATCCGCACCCACAATCACAGAAAACCAAAAGCACAGAAAAGGGGAAAGAGATTAAGGTTTTGACATTAGAATTTCAAGTTAAAATTGTGGGATTTGAGTTTTGTTATTAAGAAAGACTTTGTGTTAGTGGCAGACCCAGTGCCGAAAAAGACAATGAAAGCTGTGCTTTTTGAATTTTGATCTTGAATTCTTGAAGGATTCTATGAAAACCTATTTAAAAGAGAAAGTGGAAAAGTTTGAAAGGTCGTGGCTTTAGCTCTAGATCTAGGACATTGAAGGCCAATTTGTGAAAATCTAAGTCCAAATGCATGACGAGGAGGCCAAGAGGAAGCTCGTGGTGAAATTTGGGTGTCAATGGAGGTCGGCTGGCAACAATGACCAGGTGGCGGCAATGATGGTGGCTAGTGATTGGTTTTTGGAAAATGAGAAAATATAGTGGCTGTGTTCTTCAATTTTCAAATTTGGAATTTTATGTTTGAGAGAGAAAGAGAGGAAGAAAGAATAGCAAAAATTAAAAATTTTAAAAAATTTTTTAGGCTTGTCAATATGCGGCCACATTAGGTTGACACATCATTTTGTATTGAGATGACAATTTTTTATTGGCTAAATAGCCAAGTCAGCAACTCGGCTAACAGAGTTAACTCTTGGACCAAATTAATATAGGATTTCAGAGTTTAGGTACCTATTTAGCAATTTTTTTAGTTTAGGTACCAAATCCAACAAAATACAATAGTTTAGGGGCCATAAGACATTATCCCTTTCCAGTATTATTTAATCAAACATCAATTTTTACACTCGTTCAATTCTATTGTCAAGTTTCTCCAGTCCAAATTGTTAATGGAACTCTATTCTGACCGCCTTCAAAGGCTCACATCAACTACTTGGGCCACTTCTGATTTCAGAATCAAACATATTCAATTCTGCACCACATACTTCCTTATCTTTGAACCTCAAACCGTGTTTGGTAGGAGTGAAAAAAGAAAGAAGAAAAGGGGGTGGAAGGAAAATGGTTTTCTGGTCTCTCCATCTTTTGCTTGATTTGGTAAGAAGGAAATAGGAAGAGGGAAGGAAAATGGGTGAGATTGTAATCATAGCTTATTCTTGCTCTTCCAAGGGCCAAATTTCCTAAAGCAGTGAAATTTTTGCTCCAAATACAATGATTCAACTATAGACATCTCATTGTTCAAGGCATAGGATCAAATAACTTCAAAAAGATTAAAATTCACATCTTATAATTAACTCAAAAATGGAAGAACTCAATGGTTAAGGAGACTAAAACATCATTCAAAGCACACACTAAATTCAATTAACAAGCAAAGGTTTTTCTATTATTAAATAACAGAGAAAGCATGTATCAATGGTTAATGATTAAAATCATCCCAAACATAGCATTTCAATGAAAAATAACAAAACAAAGAATACAATGATAGATACGCAGACTAAACAAAGAAATCAGTGAAAAATAGTTATAATAGAAAGAAAGAGTAACAAACCTCAGTCATTTGTCTTTGTCCACAAAGCACTGCACCCGTGCCCTTAGGGCTATTAATTTGCTTGGCCCTAGCAAAGGCAGCCTGCAAAAGTAAGTGCAGGTTGTAATTATTTGATTATCAAGGCGTCAAACAATCTTAAAAACACACATTTGTATACAGCACTCTACCTGTACATAGCCACTTTCCCCAGTCCAACTGTCATCTGGCTGTGACAATACTGGCACAACCTTAACACCAGAAGATTCCCACTCCTTAAACCTATCCTAAAATAGGAAAAAGAGCTTGAAAATCAATAATAGAATTTGCTTATTCTAGAAAATAGGTCTATCAAAGTGGACAAGTAAGAACCAGACCTGATAAGCTATTCTTCTAAGGTTTCTAGCCCCATAATAAAGCCTCACATCAGATCTCCTATCAGCACCAAATCCTGATTCAATGAGAGATCGAATTGGACTGCGAATCAGATAGTAAATAGAACAAGTAAGTTGTAAATCTGCAGGAGACATACAATGATAGGCTTTGTAAATAGCATGCAAAATCTGACTTACAATCAATAGTATCAGTTTACTGAGCGAAAAACCAAAAAAAAAAAAAGGAAATGAACAAATAGAAGCAACAAACAAAACTCTTTCCTCCTTTTTAATGCCAACCAATGGCTCCTAAGAGAATTTTTCCGTATGCTAATAATGTTGAAAGAGAAAGATGGTGATGGAACTAATCTTCTACCAAAGTAGGAAACATAATCAAGAATGATCACCTTCCCGCATCATGAGCTCCAACAATAAAACAATAAACAAAAATTGCATTTTATTTTCCAGTTCTCAAGATGCATGAGTTAAATGAATCTGAAAATGAGTGTTCAACATTTGAGATGATAAAAATAGTAAGATTTAGGGAGGAGTGCAGTAGTTATATTGAATGGGAAAGGTATTACTGTAAAAATGAAAATACACAAGTAAAGCAATTCCCATGAGCATGCAAATGCAGAAATCAGTGGCAAGTGCTAAATCCATCTCTAAATATTAACTATTTTAAACACACATGAAGTTCATAAATTAAAGAATCATGATATTATTACATTAAAACTTCCGATGGGATCATCAACATGGTCTTCATGCTATTGAATCTGCATGACTATAAAGATTCAAACAGCTGATTATACACTAAAAATACAAAATCAAAAGACTAAATGATACTGGACATGAAAAAGACAACAAAAGGTGAGGGCAGGGTAGTATGTAAATGATGTAAAGTTGGTCTATCAAAAACTACTAGCCCAAAAATGGAGTTACTAGCTTCATAAACAGACACCGATTATCTGTCATTGAAGCATGAAAAGGACATTTTAGTGAGACATGCTGAATCAAGATCGATACATGATTATGTGCAAAGAGCAACATCAACAAAAAGAGAAAAGGGGTAAATTTCTGGGCTTTAGAGAGCATAAATCACAAGTTATTAGAAAACTGCCAACAGTCTTAGACTTATTTTACAGAGAATGCCACTGCCATAAAATTTCCAATCCAATACCTTAAAATAATCACCACGGCGTTACTCAAATTAAATGTAAGTATAAGAATTAAAACTGGACTGCAACATGTTACAACAAAATATCACTTACTTTAGCAACTTCAACGAGAACATATTCAAACTCTACAATAAAAAAGTATGATAAAAGAATAAAGCTTCAACTGTAAAATTTAATCAAATCCAAACGCCGCATAAAGCTTGGCTTTTAAGGAAAACAAACAAGAAAAAGAAAAAACCCTAACCTGATTCCCGATCCAGTAGCGAAAATCAAAACCGTCGGATAATCCTCAGGCGGATCGATCTTATCAATATTGAAGCCGTTCCCCATCACTTGACTAAGCTCCACCACATCCCCTTTCTTCAACCCACACAAAAGCTCCGCCGGCGACCCCGCCACGCTCTTTACCAAAAACTCGAAAGCTCCACTAGCTGTCGCCAATGACGGCGGAGATGCTATGGCCAAGAACGACGGTTTCTCCACGTCAGGGAGCCGCAGCTGCAGGTACTGTCCCGGTACTGTATGTGAAGCCGCGAGGTCCGGAAAGTTCGACACGTCGATGCTAACGTGGAAGAGGGACTCGGCGGCGGTCTCGATTGATGAGATTGTGGTTGGGGTCCAGACTGTGGTGTCTTGCTGAACTGCGGCGAGAGTGGCGAATCGACGGCTAGGGAGGTGATGGCGGAGGTTCAACGGGTGGAAGGGGAGGCGGCGCAGGATAGACATGGGAAGGGGGGGAGGGCTAACGCGCGCATAGGATACAGAAAGTACAGTGACGGGCATGGTTTCGGTTATGACTAGTGAAGGAGTATAAAACAAGGTTACGGTAGCGAGGACTAGAGAGAGCCGGCGGGCTGAAGCTGATGAGGTGGCGTCAGATAAAATGTGCCATGAGCCCCTTTTGGAGCTCCACGTGGCATTTAGACGGTGCGATCCTGCAATTCTGGAGATAAGTGGCGGGGTCCTCTTCAATTAGGGTTTTTCAGTTTTTTATAATTTTTTTTAGTTAAATTATTGAGGGAAATTATAATTTGTGGCAATGGAAATTTTCCGCAACAAGAAAAAATTATTATTATTATTAGTATATTAAATATTTTAAAATTAAATCTAAATTATTGTTAAGTACTCACAAATTATTATTGTTGTAGTAACGTCTTGTCTTACAATAATATGTGTTAAACCCAAATGTTCAAGGAAGTATACATTAAAGCAGCAAAGGTTGAAGTAAAAGTAAGCAAAAGCAAATTGACATAAATAAAAATAAAAACCCAATCATGCTCTCTAAGGGCATTACTGGAGCATGCTTTAAGGGGCATTACCCAATCATGTTCAAAGGGCTTTGTCAGATCACTCCAAAGGTCGTAAGTGAGGTTTTGCCCATGTGTAAAGGCTCTACCCAACCAATTTAAGGTTTACCTAGGATCAATGCTAATACTTCAAATGTAAAAAGCATATGCTTGGGATAGAAGAACTTTATCTTAAAAATCGAGGCTTTGTTTGAACATTTAAAGGGACAAAGTATCCAACCACTTGAAGAATGTAATATGCCTAAAGAAGACTCGCACCTTACCCTATCTAATCTCCACAAGGCAAAAAGCAAAATCGAGCCTCTTAACTATATTTGGTTCCATTGAATCAACATTTGACCTATTAACTAATAATTGCAAGTAAATCAAAATTAAAGTCCTAAACTACTTAAGCTAATTAAAGTAAATTATTACCTAAAAATGAACATAGAGGAACATCAATATAACATGAATGTGAAATCAACAATGCAAGAAAATAGCAAAATCACCCTAATGAAAGGAAACCACTAAAATAGAATTTACTAAACATAAAAATAGATTTAAACTTCAATGCACAAATAGCAAATCTAAAGCATGAATATTAAGTAGTTGAACATGAAACTTTAGAGGAATGTAATTGACTTTAAAATGTAAATGAACATGAAATTTAAAAGTAACAATATCTAAAACCATATCTAAAAATAGCTTGCAAAATGAAACTTGTCATAACATTTAAGTTTGAGAACCTGCTCATTAGACACAAAAATAATAGAGTCGTCACCATTCTGTTATCTAAGTGTGATTAACTACCTATATGAATCTATTCTTTTTCAAGTTATTCTAAACTTAAACTAAGAGTTTCTAAAAAGAATAAGTTTTGATCTACATCGATAGAATTAAGTTCAAAAGTTAGTTATGTGCAAGGAAGGTTTTAGCAACTTATTATGCCCAAAATTGGTACTAAATTAATTGTATGTTATCTATTTTAAGTCTTAATAAAAAAATAAATTTTTATTAATTTCAATATCTAAAATATTGGAAGAAAAAGTCTTTAGGCTTTCATCAAAAAAGAAAATTTTCTTCTTTCAAAACTATTCAAGATAAACTTTTTATTTACTCGAAGAAACTTTATCGTCGGATTTATTAAATATCTTATAAAAATAAAATCTTAATTCTTTTTATTTATTTACAAAATATTGTCATATAAAAATATTATCAAAATATCATAGAAAAATATCATGTAATAATATTATAATTAAAACATGCAAAGATCATGCAAAAATAATCCTACAAAAAATATAATAATAATACTATGAAAAAATATCATAATAAATCATGCAATGAAATATAATAAAAATCATGCAAGTAATCATACAAAAATATCATGCAAATAAATATAATAAAAATCACGCAAATAAATATAATAATAAAAATCATACCAAAGTTTCCCTTTTTTTTTCTTATCACTTTTAATTCAATCACAATTAAAAATACTAAAACAAGAAAAATGAGAAAAAATAAACAAAAAAAAAAGAAATAAAAAGTAAAAATAAAAATAAAAAATAGAAAAATCTGCGGTTGAATAGTATCAGGAAATGGGTCAAAAGCATTTAAGTCGATCGAGTCTTTTCAAACGGTGTTATTAGCTCTTAGTTTTTAAGCCAAAAAATCAAAGCTTTTAGAATTTCCTTCTCTTTTCTCTCTCTAGCCCAAAAACTTCTCCCTCGAAACTCAAACCTTTGTGTTGCTTGATGATTTTAATTGTCTCAATTGCTTTTTGATTCTTTTTTATTGTTAGTGATTTCTGACTAAGAATTAGGTTTTTAATATAGGGATTGAATCTATTTTCAATTTAAAAATTTTAATGCCAACTAAATCTATCAAGATTTTGTCAAAATTTATTTTCTTTCTTTATAAAAACTTGATTCCAAAAAATTATCAAAATAAAACTTAATCTTTGAATTTCAAATATAAATAAAATCACAATCTTTAAAAAAAATCAAAATTTATATTTTTTTGTTTTTAACCAAATAACAAAACATAAATAAAAATAAAACACTTTTGAGCCTAAATTTGAGCTTAAAAAATAATTTTTAAAACCCAATATCAAAATATAATTCGAGACCCAATAATATAAAAAAACCCTAGATAAAATTAAGTGTCTACAGCTACCCCTCTTGGCATATTTTTTGTGAATAAGAATTGTGCAAAGACATAAGATTCACAAAAGATTCAAGACTTGTAAAGACTTATAGGTTCATAAAAAACTTAAGATTTGTAAAGATTCAAAGGTTCACAAAAGATTCAAAATTCACAAAGATTCAAAGGTTCGTAAAATACTTAAAATTTGTAAAGAAATTCAAAGATTTGCAAAATGTACAAGATTTGCAAGGATTCAAAGATTCATAAAAGATTCAAGATTTGCAAAGATTCAAATATTCACAAAAGATTCAAAATTCACAAAGATTCAAGATTCGCAAGGATTCAAAATTTGTAAAAGTTCAAAAATTCTCAAAAGATTCAAGATTTGTAAAGATTTAAAGATTCAAAAGATTTAAGATTCATAATGATTCAAATATTTGCAAAAGATTCAAGATTCACAAAGAAATTTAAAGATTCACAAAAGATTCAAGATTCATGAAGATTCAAAATTTTACAAAAGATTCAAGATTTAAAAAAATTCAAACATAATTTTGAAGATTTACAAATGAAGCTTCTAAAATTCAAAGTTCACCAAAAAAAAATGATATTCACATTAAAACTTCAAATATTGACATTCAAAAATCTTAGAGATTTACATCCAAGATTCAAAGGTTCTTATTCGAAAATCTTATAAATTCACATCCAAGATTCAAAAGTTTACATTTGAAAATCTCAAAGATTCATGTCCAAAATTTCAAAGATTCACATTCTAAAGGTTAAAAGATTCTCATTTGAAACTTTTAGGAATTCACATCCAAATTTTCAAATATTTACATTTGAAAATTTTAGAGATTTACATCAAAAATTCAAATATTCACATTTGAAAAGTTTAAAAATTCTTTTTTGAAAATTTTAAGGATTCACATCCAAAATTTCAAAAATTCACATTTGAAAATTTTAAAGGTTCTTATTTAAAAATTTTAGATATTCACATCTAAAATTCAAATATTTGCATTCGAAAAGCTCACATCTAAAATTCAATGTCATAAAGGTTTGCATCAAAGATTTTTATCTTGAGAAAAAAACTCCTCTAAATAAAGACTCAACAACTTTTAAATCTTTTCAAAATATCTTTTTTATCCACTTAATTAAAAACTTTTTGCGATTGAGAGTCAAAATCTTAACAATTTTTTCATCAAGAGTCAAAATCTTATCTTGAAATTTTTTTCTCATCCCAAAAATAACATCTTTTCAGAAAATTCCTCATCATTTTATTGATTTTAATTTCAAAATCCAGAATAAAAATTTCTTATCCATCAAACAACTATCATGAACATAATACATGTAATGTAAATGTCAATCAATGTCATGCAATTCTAATTGTGGTAGTAAGGTTTTTAAGCTACCATCTCATATTTTTCTTTTTAGTTTCTCAACACTAATAATTTCAAATTTAACTCACAAATTTCATTAATTGATCCATTATCATTTCCATCATTTGGTCACAACTTACAAGTTCTATTTAACTAATCCATGGTAATTTTCATCAATTGGTCACCATTTTTACAAAATATCTTTTCAAGCTTCTTTCACCTTTTTCATTTCATTTTCTTTTTAACTTATCATTTTGGATTTTTTCCAAATGGATGCAAGAAATTTTTTATAGATATTATCATTCATTTATTTTTCATCATTATAATTCGTGATAAATGTAATTCAATCATACATTTCTTCAATTCATTCTAAGAAGAGGAAAAAATGGTAAAGAATAAGAAAGGTCAAAGAAATGATACTTATTATAAGAACAAATATGGCAAAAAATGAATAGGCAAAGAAGCCATTTCAAAGTAAATTATCAAAATGAGTGCTTGGAAAGGTTCACAACATCCAATATAATGACTATTCAAATAATTCTAAATTAATTCTAAATTCTTCTTCAAAAACTTATTCCATTGTTATTTTTTACCTTTGAGTTCAACAATCCAAGTATTATCCATACGCTATTGGATTCTTAAATTTTCATACATTAAAGCTATTTTTCTTTTCAAATTTTCAACTTAAATATCTCGTTCTTTACTTAAATTGCCCTTTCATGTTTTCAATTTAAATCTTCTTTTTTTTTTTGCTTTTGTTTTTTGCACTTTTTTGTTTGCATATCTTTTTCTGATTTTTTTTCTTCTCATCTCTTTTCCTTTTAATCCATTAGTGATATTTCGATCAAAATTTTCAACAATCTTATTACAAGTCTGTCGTAGTTTAATTCATAATTCTCTAATTTGAGCATTCACATTAAATCAAAATGAATTTTTAAGGTGCATAATATAGGCTAGGGTTAAGGTTATGAAAGAAATGGATAAAATAGGCTTAAAATGTATTTGAAGGGTTATAAATTAAAGGATATTTTCTTATCATGTAGAGCATCTTGACTTTTTGCCCCTATTCTTTACAATTCTTTCTTTTTTTTCTTCATATTTTTTTTGCACTTTTCATCATTTTCAATAAAGATTTAAGCA